AATTTTTTTACTGTGAGAGTGACAGAACACTGGAACAGACTGCCCAGGGAGGTTGTGGAGTCTCCCTCAGTGGAGACATTCAAAACCCACCTGGATGCGTTCCTGTGTGATGTACTCTAGGTGACCCTGCTCTGGCAGGGGGGGTTGGACTAGATGATCTTTCAAGGTCCCTTCCAACCCCTAAGATTCTATGATATCACGGCAGACACCATCACCATGCACAGTGCCAGCTCAGCCAGATGAGCTTGGCATTTTTACAGCTCCTGAGCACTTCACTTTGCAAACTTACTGATGGGCAGGGTAGGGCAGGGTGGCGCGGAGAGGCAGTGAACGTATAGAATGCAGAGTATAGAGAGATCAGCTACATCCACTGGGTGGCAGGCGTGTTTCGCAGGATCCAGAGGCGTGTACGTACAGAGGTACACGAAGGGAACCTGTTCACTACTGTGCTTGTTCCCTGCCTCAGAAGCGGCAATCGAACAGATAATGGTAAAAAAAAAAGACAAAAAAACCCACACAACAAAAAAATAAACACCTATAAACACAACAAAACCAAAGAGACAAACAAACTCAAGCTGCCCCGGCGCCCGACGGCGGGAGCTGGGGGGGGGTGCCCCGGGGCCGGGCAGCAGGGACCTCGCAAGAGTCTTCACGGCGTCTCTGCTGCACCAGCCCATGCGTGAAGAGCAACGCCTGCAGGGGCCAGGCCCTCCAACACTTCCCCAATTTATCTTTAGAGAGGGGAAATCTCTTTTTTTTTTTTTTTTACTAACAGCTGTAAATGCGCCCATGTGCAAAGGCAGCAAAGTTTTAAAGTTCAGAGAGACATAACAAGCTAATGTTTTCCATGGATATCCACTTAGCATCTAAAGCAGCACGACTTCAAAACTCACTTAAAAGACATTTCTGGAGAAGGGGCCATCAACCAAACTTCGACCCGGCGCATATTTTTATAACCAAGCTGCAAACTACATAAAAACTGCACCCCTGATGGAAACGCTGACAAACCCGCAACCAGCGCAGTCAGCTATGACAGCCTGACCACAAGTCCTTCAGGAAAAAAAAAGCCACATTGACATCCCCTGCCTTTCTAAGGCGGCTCCCCGCGAGCCGGGGCCGGGGGATGTGCAGCGTCTACGGGTACCTCCCGTCCTACCCTCTTATCAACAACTTAAGCAACTCCTACAGCACTTATTTCCCACACGTTGCATGAGCCACCCCCTGTTGTTTTGGGTTGTTTTTTTTTGCTCCTACAGCTCTTTTTTCCCCCACGTTGCATGAGCCCCCCCCTGTTGTTTTGGGGTTTTTTTTTTTGCCATAAACAACCAGAGGGCCTCTCAAGCCCATGACTCACTCCGCAGGCTTCTCCTCCACCCCTGTGCGTGACTCTCAGCAAAAAAATAAAAGGTTCCCAGCTGTAGTCGGCGAATTAATATGATTTTTTTTTTTTTTTTTACCGCGGCACCGTCGGGAAG